CTGCCCCATATTGCCTCCACACCGCCTGCCAAACACAATTGGATTGCTTTTCAGAGGAGCGGAGGTGTCTACTGCACTTGCGGCTGAGCCCTTAGTTGCATTAGGCAGCTTGTTCACATGTGAAGTTGGGGGATAGTAAAACCCTGCGGTTGAGTCACTTAGCAGATGTAGCGCCCTCCTAGTTAGGTGCTAGTAGTGGTCTCTGTAGGTAAATTTAGTTGTGTTATTTTGGACTCCTGCATTCAGGAGTTTTGGTGCGCTTTCAGAAAATGCACCAAACCTGTAGGATATTATAGAAGTCTATGGCTAAGCACAGCTAACCCGCTGGAAAGCTGCAGGTACACTGCACTGCTCCCGTGGTGTGGGTAAACCGCAGCACATCGGCGTGAAAGCAGCCCTATACTATTATGCCCAGTGTATGGCTTCACACTGAGCTGAAGATCTCTTCTTTCCTGCTGCTGGCACCACTCTGGAGGCTCCTGCTCCCAACTACAGCTCCAACTTTACAAGTAGTCCCTCTTCATTGCACTCTGATGCTCTGGAATGGCGGGTCAGCAAGCCCAGTCACCTGGCTGTGGTCTACTGTTAGATTGCGATTTACAGGTTGTTGACCCCTGGGCTAGATGATGGTGGATGTCCTCCAGCCAGGAAATGAGGCGGGCTCTATCGGACTTGCTGCAGCTTCTAATATAAATTGTGAAAAGCTCACAGTGTTCATTGAAATCTGAGTAAGTAATTTCAGTACAGGAGAGAACTGTGCAAGATTGAAGGGAAGGCCGGAGTTCACCTTTAAATCAGACCTGATTGCAGTGAGTATGGTGAGGATTAATCTGCCGGTAAGGTGACAGACTGGCTGCGTCACCTGAAACTCCCTGCCCTTCCTCGAGGGTCTCCAGTGAGGACCGAACATTCCTGTGTAGCTATTTAGGTCTCGGGAACAAGCGGCCTTTTGTGTGAGCGTGGCATGTACTAGTGTCCCGGGCACTGCGGGGGCGACCGGTTTCTGCGGCTTAGAATAATATTTAGTATACTCTGCATGGGCTGCTCTTCGATCCCCGACACTCACCTCGCTTTGTCTGTTCAGACGTAAGGTCTATAGGTCACTTCTAAACGCAAAAGTATAGCGTGTGGAGCAGATGGGAACTGTGTAGAAATCACATTTACACTGCCATTGCTGAATAACATGCAGTGGAAAATCAATGGCTTTGTTGCAGCCCTGGGCACAGCAGATGGTCCATCACGGTTTAGATTTATATTGCAGCGTTAAAGATGTAAATCTGCTTTCAGCTCATCGGATGATTACCTTGCAGGAATTTTACCAAACTTTGCTGCAGATTCCTACCTTTTTGTTACTATGAAGAAATAGTGTTTTGTTTGTCTGTGTCCATGTGTTGAGTGAATCTGAATGGGACTGACTTTCATTATCAATCAGCTGCTGCTTGCAGGGTTCCAGTGAGGTCTGCGTCCCTTTAGGCGTGATTAACCCCTTGGGGGTATCTCACCAAAAGTAACCTTTTCATTGCAGAGGAGGTCTAAAACCTGATTTGTATCTTCGTCTTAGACTTTTGGGAAAGTCAGTAAGCCAATCACACAAGCAGGAAATGACTTTCTGGGGGCGTCTGTGTGCAGAAGGTCTTCAGTTATCCATATTGCATTTTCCAGAAAATAGCAGCTGCATATTGAACAGGAAAGATCATTTTTAATAAAATTCAGTTACAATATGGCCTGTGTAGCAATTGCAAATGATATATATATATATATATATATATATATACATACACACACACACACACAGTGTGGGTACAGAAAAGAATCACCCCCCCCCCCCCCTTTTTTTTTTTTTTTTTTTTTTTTTTTTTAAAACGCATTTTGTTGCTTTGCAGCCTGAACTGAAGACAGGCACTGTTTCTGTTTTATTCAGCTGTATTTACTCGGAGCAACTTATAACATCCAAGTGAAAGATATAACACCAACATGTCAGGAAGAAAAAAATCAAAAACCGAATCACTGAGTTGGAGAAAGGATCACCCCCTCCTAAAAATGACTTTGACTCTCAACTGTGATCAGCTGTAGTCATTTTGATTCGCTCAGCATGAAAAGAACTTTCCTGTAGCATTTCAGTCCCTGGTAGTGCAACTGAAGCATACAATCAACTATGGGTGGCAAGGCACTGTCAAAAGATCTCTGGGATAAAGTTGTGGACAGGCACAAGTCAGGAAACGAATCCAAAAAAATGTCAAAGGCTTTATCAATGCCTAGAAGCACAGTGAAGTCTATAATTAGGAAGTGGAAGGTATTTGGTACAACACAGACCCTCCCTGGACCAGGACATCACTCCAAACTGGATGAAGGAGCCAGGAGGAAACTGTTCAGAGAGGCTACCAAGAGGACTACAGCAACTCTGAAGCAGTGTCAGGAACTGATGACAGAGTGGTCATTGTGTGCATGTGACAACAAGATCACAAAATTCCACAAATGTGGCTTGTATGGGAGGGTTGCAAAAAAAAAAAGCCGCTCCTCAAGAAAGTGACCACAGAGCTTCACCAAAACGCACCTTGAAGATTCTGAGGCCACATGGAAAAAGGTGTTCTGGTCAGATGAGAATGAAATTGGATGATGTGGTCTCAACGTTCATGATCTGTCATGGGGCAAAATACTGTCAAATGTTTGAGAAAATTCTGCTGCCAGGAAGTTGTCAATGGGAAGACAGTTAACCTTCCAACATGACAATGACCCAAAGCACACAGCAAAACTGACCACACAGTGGTGGTTGGAGGAGAAAAGGGGGAATGTCCTTCCATGGTCTAACCAAAGCCCAGGCTTAACTGAACTTGAGTAGTTCTGCAAAGAAGAGCGGGCAAATATTGCAAAGTCTAGATGTGCACGGTTAGTAGAGATACATCCCAACAGACTAAAGGCTGGAATTAAAGCAAAAGGTGGTTCAACTAAATACTGACAAAAGGAGGTGACCCTTTTTCCAACTCGGTGATTCTGTTTTTGATTTATGTATTTATTTTTACATGTTGGTGTTATATCTTTCACTTGGATGTTATAAGTTGCACCAAGTAAATACAGCTGGATAAAACAAAAACTGTGTCTGTCTTCATTTTAGGCTGCAGAGCAACAAAATGTGATTTTCTTCTATACCCAGTGTTTGTGTGTATATATGTAATGTGTGTGTGTGTGTGTGTGTGTGTGTGTATATATATATTTATTATACAGTATTTATAAAGCACCAATAGTTCGCTCAGCGCTGTACATTACAAAGGGGGACAGAACATGTGACAGAACAATACCAATACAATGCAAAACATGAGGGGATCGAGGGCCCTGCTCCTTGGAGCTTACAATCTAGGAGGGAGAGGATGGTGGCACAGGAGGAGATAGCTGTGGGGGATGGAGTGGTAGGAAGAGTGGAGGAGGTCGGCAAGTTAGCAGGGGGTGGGGTAGGCTTCCCTGAAGAGGTGGGTTTTCAGGGTGCACCTAAAGGAGAGTAGGTGATAATCTCATGGGTTGGAGCAGGGAGTTCCAGAGGATGGGTGACACCCTGGAGAAGTCCTGGAGGCGGGCATGGGAGGAGGAGACCAGGGAAGTAGAGAGAAGGAGGTCTTGTGAGGAGCGCAGTGTGCGTGCTGGAACTGCTGCATGTCCAATCACTCTTTATCCTGACGATGGGGATCTATTTCCAGGCAATAATTCTGGGTACAAATAACATTTGTTGTCTTGTTCTGTTATGTGTGTACGGCTTTTGAAGTGTCCTGCGATTTCTGACATTTTTCTTCATGTTGCTGATACTACAGACAAGATTGTGAATGGGTCTGTAGGAAGATGCAGTGTGAGAGCTACCCCAGGGCCACTCTGCCGATTTCTGGGGGTGTGGGGGGGGTTGCAGCACTGCGGATCTGTGCTAGTAAGATTTCTCTAACCTGCTAGAACAGAGATGTCAAACTCAATTTCACACTCCAAATCAGCATTATAGTTGTCCTCCAAGGGCTGGTTGTTTCTGTAAGACTAGATGTCAAGAGCACCTCAGCCCTCCCTCCACACCCCCACCCCCCCCCCCCTCAGATGTCAAGAGTCCCCCACCCTACCTTACATCATAGTGCACCCCCCTTACCTTGTGCTGCTACTGGGAAGAAGCTAGAGGTGGAATTGGGAAGCAGAAAATGCAGAGTCTGGAGGAGGACCAGAGGAGAAGTGGAATCTACTGAATGCTGAGACCAGGGGAGGCAGAGACGTTGGTGCTGCGACTGCACACAGAGGCACAGAATCTTTAGAGGTGTCCTGTCCTCTTCTCTGTCACCGATTGCTGAGATGTGGGGGCAGAGATGAGCATCTCTGTGGCTTCACAGAGAGGCCCAGGGTTTGGCAGAGGAGTTCTGTCCTTCTCTTTGCTGCCAACTGCTGAGGCAGGGTGGGGCTTGTACTGCAACTGCAGAAAAGGTGCAGGGGCCACATAAAATGGCCTGGTCGGCCATATTTGGCTTGCGGGCCTTGTGTTTGGAGGAAAATAACACAAGCACAAGAAGAACATGCAAACTCCATGCAGATCGGGTCCCGGCTGGGATTTTAAACACGGACCCCAATGCTGCAAGGCAGTAGTGGTAAACACAATGCCGATATGTATTTTTTTTATTATATGCTCCTTTTGTGCTATAATGTTCATATTTATTACGCTGTATGTTATGGATCAGACTCCAATCTGGGACTGCTGACTATCCCGACCCTGAGGAAGTGTGCGTAGTCTGAGACGTGTCAACATGATTTTATGTAAATCTGAGAATTGCTTCAATGAAATCTGAAGTTCTCTCTGTGATCAATGATTGTATATCACATGGTAAATGTCCCGGAACATTCCTTTTATTGAATGAATATCTGATTCTTCTGAAATGATTGTCCGGCTGTCAGTGCTGAATGAACACCACGTATAGAGTGATCGGATCGGTCGGATCTTTTTCTGTTTTCGGGAGTCTCACTCTTATTTGTGTTCCTTCCATCAGGGAGAAGATTGCGGGGGAAGGCCTTCTACAATGTCAATGGAAAAGTCTACTGCGAGGAAGATTTCCTGGAGTGAGTGCAGCCACTGTCTGGCAGATGGGGGTGAGAGGTGGGCACAAGGCTGGGGAGAAAGGCATTGCTGCAGCTCGCAGAGTGTGCCCAGCTAGAGGGTGGTGGGGAAATGGAGGGGTACTGCTGCAGCTCACAATGTGCCCATCTAGGGAGGTGGTTGGGGTCACTGCTGCAGCTCACAGATGGAGTGTGGCCAGCAAGGGGGGTGGATGGGGGTATCACTGCAGCTAACAGAGTGTGTCCCAGCGGTTCGGGGGCACTGCTGCAGCTCAGTCTGGCTGGCAGGGGCAGAGCGTGTCTCAGCCGGGGAGGGTAGTGGAGAGGAATGGCTGCAGACCGCAACATAGGGGCAGATTTTACAGACTTTGCATTTTTCTTCCTTGTGACACGGCACTGACACGGGGAGGGTGTGGGATGGGAAATGATAGAAGGGGCAGCACAGGTCATTTCACTATCCCAGGCCCAGGGCCCAGACATTCCCAGGGAAGAGCTGTCAGCCAGAGAACATTTCCTATTGCCTTCTTTATTTCTCAAGGAAGCAGCTGGAGCAGAGGGGCTCAAATGTGGTTCAGGGGCCAGAAATGCATTCCATTCCCTCAGCCAGGAGCCCCTGTGATAGACAGGCAGTAAAGCAGCAGGTAAAAGGTGCCAGTGACAGGGCCCCGGTGATGGATCTGAACTCCTCACACATAGTCGTCTGTTCCTTCTCCTCGTGGAGTAAAAAGATCCCCTTCCCCACCACCGCCACAATCACACTCCAGGCCAGCATGGGACAGTCCTGGCAAAGACATGGGGGTTAGTGGGAAATGGTACCCTGGTGGAAGCTGAGTCCCGGGGCTCAAGTGCTGCAGGGCAACACTTTACTGCCTTCATTTTATCCTCCTGATTGGGATGACTTGGTAATCAGCTGTTTTCACTGTTAATACAACATTCAGAAGTGATCGGTCCCCGGCTTATTTCATCCTTTAGTTTTTCAGCTATGGGCCATTGATCTGTGTGTGCGGTTATTATTGGTTGGTTACATGGGGCCCCATGGAGAAGGAAGTAGACATTGGCACAACATTGGTTGCCCAGCTGGTATTTGCGCTGACAAAGCGTTGATCTCGCCCACATCTGGGCACAGACACACTGACGGGCTTTACTGGTTTGTCTGCCGTGTGTCTTCCGGGTAAACAATGCTCCTTTGTTGGTGGCTCCGGAGACGACCGATTTTATTACTGCTGTCTCTGAGCCGCAGGCGCTGCGGTGGGAGGTGAGGGGTTAACGAAACTTGTGGCTGGTGACTCATTATTTGTGGAAATGAGCGGATTATATGTTATCTGACCCGAGTATGGGGGGGGTGGAGATACTGAGCCTGTCTGTGCTTAGGGGGGACACTGAGCCCTGTTTTGGGAAGGGGGGGACAGGGAATAAATACTTCAGCCCTTTGTAGGGGGGACATTGCTTTGTGTGAACAGTGTGCCTGCCTGTGGGGGGGGACGGGGAACACTGAACCTTCTGTAGGTTGAGGTGGTGGAATGCTGGATCGTGTGTGTGTCTGTGTGGCCTTGTGTTTGTGGGGAGACATCAAGCCGTGTAGGGGGGGGTTCACCAAGCCCTGTGTGTGGGAAGGCTGGGGGGTGGGTTGCTGAGCCTTGTGTCCGTGGCAGGGACACTGAGCCCTGTGTGAGTGAGGGAGGGGCCTAATGGGTTAGAAATGGGGGGGGGGGTTTATCAGAAGCGATAATTGTAAACAGGCAGAGTTCATATCGCATGTCATTTGCGACAATGTTTTTTCCGTACTAGTATCGCCATGATGGTATTGATCACGCTAATGGTGTAATTTTTGCCTCCAGTCAGTTTTAGGGGTCAGGTCGCTGTGATCAGGTCTCTAAATGTCGTATTTCTTCAGATGTGATAAATTAAAGTGTTACTAAAGCTCAGACCCTGCATCCACTATATCTGGTCTCCCACAGTACACGGGACATGGAAGTGCAATTATTTTAGTAAATATAAACTGCTAAATACCTTTTTCTCATCAGCAGTTAGAGCAGTCTTGTGATTTCTGTCAGTGTCCAGCAGAGCTCTGGTAAAGCTTGTAGGAGGAGTTTTTTTTTCCTGCTCTAAGAAGATGCAAAACCCCTGACCCTCTGTCTGGACAGTGCTGATTGGCCCTGTGTCGATCACATGAACTCTCCCAAGAAAAGAAAAAAAAATACACACTAAACTGAGCATGTGCAGAGTGACTCCACACCATATGTCTTATCAGGAATTAAGAGGGAGGCACTGGAAGAAGGGTAGGATCAGAGAAGTCAGGATCAAAGCGCATTTTTACACAATGCAGAGGATTGACCCCTTTGGCTCCACAGTAAATATAACAAGCATGCATCACTGCATATACAGACTGATTTTTACTGTTGTGGGTTTAGAAACACTTTACGTTTTCAGTGTAATGTGGAGCCGTTAAATCCGTTTGTGACAACTTCTACACCTGAAACTTGGTACTCAGTGGAGTCCCCCTTTATGTTGGAGAGATTGTGCCAATTCTAGAGGGACAGGTTCTCACTCTGGTGCTGCTGGTCACACGACACCCAAGTGGCAGCCTGGTAGTGTCAGCTCTCCTGCTCTGTGCTGTGACATGGGGGGTCTCCTGACACCCCCCCCCCCCACCTGTCACTCTGGAGGATTCTGGAACACGGTGCGGCCAGATGGTCAGAGATCTGATCTTCGCTGACTCACCAGCCTTCTGGAATTTAAAAATATCCCACTGGGCGGCCGTGGTGTGACTGGGTGACAGCTCAGCATTTCCTGGCACATGGCAGCTCCTCACACTTTCCTGGAAGTTTCACTCTGCTGAGGCAAAGAGGACCTGTCTACAGAGACCTGAAACCTTCCATCTTATTTGTATGAATATCCCAGAGCATGTTCTGTCAGGGATGGGGCCATAAAGAGGTGAAGCATGAAAAGTGCAGTGTAGGGGATTGTCTTCAAAGCAGTGACACACAATGAGGTTGTGGGAAGTGGTCCTAGAAAATGATGCATTTTATTGGTTCATTCCTTTAACCTTCATTGCAGGACATGGAAAAATCCCTGGTGTGTCCAAGATCGGACTGTCCCATAATAGTCCCTTCAGTGTATGGAAACCTTAAAGATTAAATGCTCTTATTTGCTTTTCTGTGGTTTATTAAAGTAGAACTCCAGGCATGTCACCTACCTCTCCTTTCCCGACCCACCAAACCCAACAGCCCCCCAGTATCCGTACAGGACCTGCATTTACAGACCATGGGTTACACACTGCTGGACAGGCCCCCCCCCCCCCCCCCCCCCCCCCCCCCCCCCCCCCTGCACCTTCATATAACCCCTCCATGGGATTCCAGTTTTTTGCTTATGTACTTAGATGGTGACCTCTCCTTGTGGTGACAATGAAGGGGTGGGCATTCTCCCTGGACTGAGCCGTGCTAACATGGCCGCATGTAAGACCAACTTCATGTTGCTGTGCTGCAGTTTGGCAGCAGTGCAGGCGTATTTGCAGTTTTTCCCATGATTTTACTTGTGGCCCCAGACTTAGTTTGCATGTTTTTGTCCCGTTTTCTGAAAGTGCACCAAAGATGCAGCGTGCCGGACTTAAGGTAAGGTACGCTTTCAGAAAAAAAAACAGACAACCTGAGGGTTAAGTCAGTGGAACCACGGGTAAAACGCGCAAAAATCGCACATACACCCACGCTGCGGCCAAACTGCAGTGCGGCAGTGTGAATCCGTTCTTAAGTGCAGCTCAACCATGGAATACTGTGAGCCCAGCCTGTGTGATGTAGCACCCTCTGGCGGGGGGGGGGGGGGGGGGGGGGTAACTGACAGGTTGGGAGATTTACTAAGACTGGAGCACTCAGAATCTGGTACAGTTGTGCATGGCAGCCAATCCGCTAATAACCTCAGCTTGTCCAATTAAGCTTTGGTGATAAAACCTGGAAGCTGATTGGTTTCTATGTAGAGCTGCACCAGATTTTGCACTCTCCAGTTTTAGTAAATAACCCCATAGTGACATTCTGCCCCAAAAGATAGAGGTCTTCTGTATTTATGTCTTAGTGTGACAACACTGCTCCTCCACAAAAACACTAGTGAGCCGGGGTTGTCACCCTAGGAGAGGAACTGTTACTGGCATGATCCCCAAATGAAAATGAAGGGGAAGAAAACACTGAAAAGGTAAAAACGAATGCAGCCAACACATCTAAAGACTGGTAAACTGTTTTGGGTTTGACATAGGCCAGGGGTAGTAAACTGTGGTAAAACTTCAAATCCCATCATGCCTCACTTCTGGGCGTTAGGTCTGTTATGCAATGTTTCATGGGACTTGTAGTTCTACAACCCGCTCGAAGGCTGCTCACCCATGACAATACTGTGACAACAATATTCCTAATGCTCTTTGGAAGAGGCCATTTTCAATTTCGGGGAGGATGTGGTTCTCGGTTCGAATTGTACACTCATCTATCCCCTTTCCCCCATCCCTGATTTTCTCCTCTTCTCTTTGCAGTATTCCGGCTTCCAGCAGACAGCAGACAAATGTTTTGTGTGCGGCCATCTTATCATGGAAATGGTGAGTGCAGTTCCTGCTATTTACATGTCTCTGCTCAGGGTAGTTGGATGTGAATAGCCCCACTTTGTTCCCGCCCACAAGGACTCGCAAATTCCAGCAATCCCACTTCTAAAGGCACAAAGCGCTGCTCCATCAATACCTCCAAACTGTCTTTGATCTCTCACTCTTGTGAGGACGTGCGTTCACTGAGAGTGCCATGATGAGCCCCAACAATGCTGTGACTCTATGGGGGAGATTTATCAAAACTGGAGCACTCGGAATCTGGTGCAGATGTGCATGGTTTCCTCCTAGATTGTAAGCTCTAATGAGCGGGGCCCTCGGTTTCCTCTTGTGCCAAATTGTATTGTCACTGTAATGTCTACCATCATTTTGTAAAGCGCTGCGCAAACTGTTGGCGCTATATAAATTCTGTATAATAATAATGGGAGCCAATCCGCTTTTAACTTCAGCTTGTTCAATTATTATTATTATACAGGATTTATATGGCGCCAACGCTTTACATTATAGTGGGAGACAATACAGTTCAATACAAGAGGGAATTGAGGGCCCTGCTCCTTGGAGCTTACAATCTAGGATTTTTTCAATTAAGCTTTCACAATTAAAAAAAAAAAAAAAAAAAAGAAGCTGATTGGTTTCTATGCAAAACTGCACCGGATTTTTCACGCTCCAGTTTTAGTAAATCAAAGCCTATGAGTCCTGATAATGTGTGCTGATGCCAGCTAGCTGCAGCAGGCCCCTTAAATCTGAATACGGGCTCTGTACATTATGTAGCAAAAGTGATTATATCCCTTTAAGGAAAGAAAACAAATCTTCCCCCTCCAGGCGCTGCAGACATGTTGTGATCGTGAACGGTGTGAATTGAGTGGCGCATACTTCCTCCGAAGCTGTGAATCAGTGCGCTAATCCCCCCCACCGACGTCCCATGCTGGCAGGCTCAGCACCGCGTCTCTCACAAGTTTCCTGTACATGCGTGGACATGTCCGCCTGCAGCTTTGGCTGCTGTTTATGTCTGTGCGGCATGCGAGGAGCGACGTCGTGTCTTTTGTGCCTTTATCTCATCCTGCCGAGCACGGCCCGAGGCATTTTAACCGCCACCAGCTCCGTGTCAGCGTTTAGTCACGGTCGTGTGAAGACGCGCTGCCTCTCGCCGGCGGGGATGTTTGTTCTTGTATTTTAGTGACTATCTTATTTCATATCAACACGGTCCGGCATTGAATACCTTCCCCGGACTACAGACACGGCCCACTATCAGGGATCTCTCCCCTCTACCCCAAGAATGGTTGGGCGACCCATTACTGGGTGTCATTAAACAGACACAACTCAAACAACACATGCATGTCTAGATGATTAAATCTGACCCCCGGCTTTCTCTTCAGTCTTTCAGTTGTACCAACTCCTCTCCTGGACTGAAGTGGCTTACTTTGATTTCACTGCACACTATGAGCTTCTCACAATGTGCATTAGAAGCTGCAAGTCAGAGCCCATCCCACTCCCAGCATTGCCTAGCTTTCTTCCCCAGCCTCACTCTCCCTGGCTGCCTTCCCCCTTTTTGATTCAGTCCTTTCAATTATGAAGGCTCAGCTCACAAGTGGGTGTTATCTAGGGTGGCCTGCATGCATATACAGCTTTCCCAGGAACTCCCACTCCTCCAGACATCCACTCAAGGCATTTTGATTAGGGATGCACCGATACTAAGCATTTTCACAAGTGCGGATAAAAATACTCCCTGATACCCAAGCCGATACTGCGGTGCAATTTGCGTCCATGCAAAATGTATGGACGCAGATTGCACTGCAAAGAATAGCATGCTCTTTGAATAGGAATGCTGTTGTCCAAATCACATGTGGTTTTCCTACTGCTCCTGTGAGAATCCAGGCTGGTCATAACCACAGGAGTGGTGTGGGAATCTTCCCTGCATGGATCCTATGCTGACTGGAGAGTACGGCGTTTGGGGATGTATACACTGGTGTCAGCTATCAGGCGAAGGATGGCGGCAGATGCTCCGGATTCTCAGCTGTAGGAGAGGAAAGAACACCATGGGATTTGAAATTCCCGTGGCTTTCTCTCCTCTCCTTGCAGGGATGACCATATGGGCTAGACAGCTTCTGATTGGTCAGCACAGTGATGGTGGTGACCAATCAAAAGTTGCTAGGCCTGTGCGGTCATCCCTGCAAGGAGAGGAGAGAAAGCTGTGGGGATTTCAAATCCCACAGCTTTCTCTCCTCTTCTACAGCTGAGAATCTGGAACGTTGCCGTGGCTTTCTCTCCTCTCCTACAGCTGAGAATCCAGAGCATCTGCCTCCATCCTCTGATGGCCAACACCAAGGTATACATTCCCACACTCTCTTCTCTCCAACTGTCCGCTCAGCATGGAATTTGTGCAGGGAGGATTCCCACACAGCTCATGTGTGAACTCCTGCTATGACAAGCCTGGGTTCACGCAGGAGCAATGGGGAAACCGCATGTAATTGAGCCAGGAATACTATTCCTGTTCAAAATCGCATGCTATTCTTTGCAGTGCAATTTGTGTGTCCATACATTTTTGTATGCAAATGCACTGCAAAGTATCTGTATTGGCGAGTACTTGACCAAAAGTATTGGTACTCCTGCTCGCCGTTCAAAAAATGGTATCTGTGCATCCCCAGTTTTGATATTTGCATAACTCCTCCCAAGAACCAGCCCACTTCTTGTATTGGCAAGCTTTTCTGAGCCCATTAAAGGACAGCCAAAATTCCTCAGCCCTGATGAAGGGGTTTGTTCGGCCCCCGAAATATGTTGTTGTTTTTTTCTACTATGAACCAGTTTTATTGCTACTATTACCACCTTAGTCCTTATGCAGCAGTGACTACCGCTCCCCTTATTTTCTGTCCTGCTGTCACAGGGATAGTAAGGCAGGCTATAGATGTGATTTTCCTTCCTGCAGCCTGTGGAAAATTGCTTGAATCCGTACCGCAGCCATATTGTGTTCTGCCACGCAGTAATCGCATGTGAAAAATTTGACAGGGCGGTTGTACCGAAGTTTGATCTATGGATCGACTTCAGTACAACCAACGTGCCCATTAGATGGATCAAATCTTGGCCGGTCCTTCTGAACAATACATCTATGGCTGATTGAAGTCAGCTGTGATCTCCCTAACAGGCAGTTTAGCTCTTGGGCCTCTAGTTTTGACTGGAGTTGGGCTTTAATGTGTAGATATGTAATTACCAGGAATTCCTGTGGCTTCTCCACCCTTTTAGATGAGCCATTACATCATGTGATCCACTTGCCTAGCCCCGGGCTGCCTTCATTCATATTAACCTGTCTGTCTCTTTTCAGATCTTGCAGGCCCTGGGGAAATCGTACCATCCTGGCTGCTTCCGCTGCGTGGTGTGTAACGAGTGCCTGGATGGCGTCCCCTTTACTGTAGACGTGGAGAACAACATTTACTGCGTCAAAGATTATCACACGTAAGGTCAATCCTGCTGACCGCAGGGAGCAAGAGGAGAGAGTGTGGGTGGGGAGGGTTCAGGCCCTATGAAACTCTGCTGGGCAAACGCCATATTTACATGGTACAGCTCTTAGTGAATGACCCTTCCCCAGCTGAGTGTTTGACGCTCTGATAACCTTTTGGCCAGTTCTGAACACTGACCTTTTCCATCCCTTATGATCTCATGATGGGGAACCTGGTCAATTGATTGCTTTATTATTATAGCACCATCATTTACTGGATGGAAACCAGCAGGAGTGATACATAGAAATGAGTACACAAAACCTTTCCAATGACAAGTGCGTACAACTGAATAGCAAAAACACATTATCAATAATACAGGAGACAGAGCTTATGTTCACAGCAATCTGAAGAGAAAAAAAAATCAAGGAAGAGGTAATGGAATGAGTATGCTATATATAAAGTAACAGTGTGTATCTTGTCAAATAGAGGAGGAAGCAGTGCTGGCTCAGTAAGTTGTCTATAAGGTGACATTGCATGAGGATGAGGAAGCTGTGAATCTGTAATCTTTATAGAAGTTGGCAGTGTGTGTCTTGTCAGGTAGTGAAGGAGGAAGCATTGCTGATCGATAAATTATATATGAGGAGTCAGGTAGAGGAAGAAGTAGTACTGGCTCAGTAAGTTGTCCATAAGGTGACTGTCCATGTCTTCTCATATGAAGGAGGAAGTAGTGCTGGCTCAGTAAGCTGTATATAAGGTGACCGTGTGCTCCTTGTCAGATGGCGGAGGAGGCAGCAGTACTGGATAAGTAGTAAGCTATCTGTAAGGTGACCTGTGTATGTCTTCTCAGATAAGAGGAGGAGGAAGCAGTGCTGGATCAGTAATCTCTATATAAGGTGAGCGTTCATGTCTTATCAGTTCAGGAGGAAGCAGTGCTGGATCAGTAAGCTATATATAATAGTGTGTGTCTTGTCCGCTTATGGAGGAGGAAGCCATGCTGGACAAGTAAGCTGTATATAAGGCAAGAGTGTGCGTTATGTCAAATAGTAGAGGAGTAAACCGCTCTGGATCAGTAATCTGTATATAAGGTGACAGTGTGTGTCTTGCAAGGTAGTGGAGGAGGAAGCAGTGCTAGGTCAATGACTAAAGTGAATGTATTGAGCTCTTTCACCATCCTGGTCTTTCACATGAATTGTCCAGAATGACCATTGTGCATGATGACCTCAGACTGACTACATCTATGCCATATATGGGAGGATGTACATGTCTAACATCTCCTCCTGTATGGCTGTGTTTGCAAAAAAAAACCATTCAGATGTGAATTTTATTCCACAAATTCTGTGTATTTTTGTATTCATTGTGTGCTGTTTTTTTTTTTTTTTTTTTTTTTTCCCCGCAGAGTTTTTGCACCTAAATGTGCCTCATGCAACCAGCCGATTCTGCCGGCACAGGTAATTGTCGGAGTTCCTCCTTACTTTCCATACTTTTGATGCTGTCTGCATGCCCAGACTGCTGTCAGTCCAATTTTCAGTCTCCTAGGTAACAGTCAGATTGTGTCTAGAATGGGGATTTTATCCATGGTATTGGCCTCTGATTGGCTGCTGGAAGACACCAGTGTAAGGACTGTGTAGAGTTTCGCCATCTCTGCATCCCCAGCTGAGCCGTGCTCACCCCAGAGACCCCACCCAACCTGAGACTGGCATGTGAACGGGCTCCCACCTCATATCTGATCCGTCACGGCTCTGACGTCACTGGCTGTGTTTATGTTGGACGCTGTGCCATCGGCTAATTATAACGCGCTGTTTCCCAGGAATATATTTCCCGAGCCGGCCGTCCCCAGGGACTCTAACAACACACAGATTCCATGGGAAGAAGAGTGAAGCATGCTGGTCCTTCCTGCCGGGAGTTGACATGTGACACGATTAAAGGGACTGTCCTCCTGGGTGCTGATGTGACTTGCTTAAAGGGAAATTTTCCTTTGAGTGCGAACACATGACTTGCTTAAAGGGACAGTCCCCCTAGTGCTGGGATCATATTTATGTTTGGGTAGAGTCACAACCTGCTTAAAGGTACAGTCCCCAAAGGCTGATATTTGACCTGCTTAAAGGGACAATACCCCGAATACTAAGATCCCCTTTACATCTGGGTAAAATTACAACCTGCTTAAAGGGACAGCCCCCCAAGTGTTGGGATCTAATTTGTGTCCATGAGAAGGACAGTGAAGAATGCTCCTTCCTTTTGGACTTGACATTTGATCTGCTTAAAGGGACAGCCCCCCGAGTGCTTAGATCCCATTTATGTCAGGGGAATGCCCCTTTAAGCAGGTTGTGACTCTACCCAGACACTCGGGGGTGGGGGGGGATGTGGACTGGCCCTTTTAAGCAGATCACAGGTCAGCTCCAAAACGAAGGTCAGCATGCCCCACTCTCCATCTCATGGGCACAAGTGGGATCTCAGCACTTTGGGGACTGCCCCTTTAAGCAGGTCATGACTCTGCCCATGCATAATTGGGATCTCAGTGCCTGGGAGACGGTCCTTTAAAGCAGGTAACACATCAGCACTCGGGAAATGTCCCTTTAAGCAGTTGTGACTCTACCCAGGGTGCTGATGTGTTCCCTTCTGAAAAGGACAGTCCCCTGGGACCCCATCTGTGCCCATGACAAAGGGAGTGAGAAATGCTGACGCTTCTTGTTGGAGCTGACATGTGATCTGCTTGAAGGGACAGGTGTAAACCCCCGCCCCCCCCCCCCCCCCCCCCCCCCCCCCCCCGGGCTGAGATTCCATTTGTTGTGTTTGTGTAGGGTCACGCAGTAGCTTACATCTTTCTTCCAGATTGTCTTTGGTCTGACTCCTCTCGCTGCATTCCCCGTAAATAAAAAATCCCGCAGGGAGAGTATTGCTTTTGTATTTGCGGTACAGGAGTCCCAGAGAGGCAGAGGAAGCTGGTTTGGTTCTGTGATGAGCAGATCTCTTTCCTCTCTGCCTCCTGTTAGTGTTTCACAATCACCTGGACGTTTTGCCAAATGTTTCTGTAGTGGTGGTTAGCGCTGGGGGAGGGGCCAGGAATTTTAGTCTACTGAATGTGGATGGCTGTGTGGCCTTCAATTGAGAAATGATTTTGGAATGTTGGGGGAGGGGCTTGCTCCATCATGTGTTTACCTGTGTTTTCTATTGCAGGGTTCAGAGGAGACCATCCGTGTGGTGTCCATGGACAAAGATTACCACGTGGAGTGTTATCACTGTGAGGTGAGTTGGATGGAGGGGAGAGTTAATCATCACCCGGAGAAGGTCATCCGTCTGCTTCAGATTTTTCTCCTGTTTTGTGCATTTTCATCGCTTAAAGCGGAACCATACTTGCCTTCTCTCCAGCTCTGCCATGTCCTGGAGCTCCATGCCACACGCTAACATCTTCAGGGCATCAATCCTCTGAATTTCCATTGGCCAGGCCGAGCTGTCTTTACTCCCATGCATGCACGGGAGTCCAGTCATCTTGGCATTGCTGAAATTGTTCACTGAGCTGCATGTGCGGAAGGCAGGTAAGTAACTTTAATGCAGAAGAAACCTAGTAGGTGTTTTAATACATTAAAAAGCCTGCCTGATCACATTTTGTTTTCACTTTAACGTCAAGCAAACATCTACATACATAGTTGAAATGCATATATGGGGATTCTGTACATCAAGTCCTCAGATTTGCACAACTCTGCCACATAGCACAGCCTTGTCTGGAATGGCTGGAGACCTGATTTTCTGCAGTTTTGTATCACTTAAAGGTCTTGTCCCTCCCCCAGCCGGTGATTGACAGTGAAAGGAGAAGCAGAAGACTGATGAGCTCATCTTTGTCAGTCTGCTCTCTCTTCCTATCCGCATGCTCACTGCACTGCAGCACACCTAAGTGGCTACTTGTGCTGCTTTTCCCTAAAGGATGGTCGCTGTGACATAATAGATAATTTGTCGCACATTCACTGTCGGAATTACTCTCTCTGCATCACCAATATGGGCAATTCAGGAAAGGTCTTCTCATAGCTGAGCTTCTCCATGCCCTATTAGTTGTCACACCTCTGCAGTCCTGTTTGTGGACTGGAGAACATTGTCTGGCTTGCACTTTGTTCAGGATGATGACAGGCATGCAATCTTACATTGTATCTCTCTATTTCCCATCCAATCAATGTTTATAAACAATGTAACTTTGTATCTCTATCTCCTATCTGAACAATGTTTATGAATGTGTTTTTTTGCCTTTTTTTTTTTTTTTTTTTTTAAACAGTAGCAGCTGTTAGTGTTGTATTTACACATCAACTCTGGGCTGTCATCTTGACAGTTGGGAATTGTCAGCAAGTGTGAGGTGGGGAATGGCAGTGGGGTAGAGGGACAGGATATAATACATACTCCCTGTGTACTTCCATAAAGATTTTGGGTGTGTGCCAGAAGTGTTAAGTGTGTGTGCATGGTTTTTTTTTTTTTGTTTTTTTTTTTTTATCTTGAACCACTCGCTCTCCTGATGATCTACCCCCCTCCTTCCTAACCAGGCCATTTTATGCGTTACGGCGATGCGTTACTTTAACTTAACGCAGTCATGCAGCGCTGCTCTCAAATACAAATAAAATTTACGACCTTTTTTCCCACCAATTGAGCTTTTGGTGATATTTGATCATGTCTGCATTTTTTATTTTTTGCTCTATAAAAAAAAGACCAACAATTTTGAGAAAAAAACAATATTTTTGACTTTTTGCTATTAAACATGTCCAGTAAAACAATTTAAAAATCTAATTTCGTCATAAATTTAGGCCGTAATGTATTCTGCTCCATGTCTTTGCTAAAAAAAAATCTCAATATGTGTAAATGAATTGGTTTATGTGAAAGTTAGAGTTTACAAATGGTGGTATAGATACTGGAATTTTTTTTTTTTCTTTTCAATTTGTAATGGCGGTGATCAGCGACTTATAGTGGCACTGTGGCGGGCATTCTGACACTGGGGGGGAACTGACTTTGTGCCACAGACATCCCCAGTGACACCAATACAGTGACCAGTACTAAAAAAAAAAAAAAAAGCACTGACACTACTAATGGCACTGGGCAGGAAGGGGCGATCAAAGGGTTGTGTGCAGGGAGTGTTTTACTGGGAGGGTGGTGTGTGTGGGCCTTACTTTAGTTACACTGCTCTGGATGGCTGTGTTGTGCACAGCCATCCAGAGCAGTGTGCCCGAGCTGACAGGGAGGACGACTGTTAGTAAACAAAGCAGTGCTCCTCCCTGTCGGAGATGCTCGGTAATCACCGGCCGGGACCCGGTGATTGACAACCGCTGCCGCGAATGGCAGCACGGGTAAGGTGCATGCCCCCTACCCACTAATACAAAATCACACGTGTGTGTGTGTGTGTGTGTGTGTGTGTGTGTGTGTGTGTGTGTGTTTTTTTTGCGCACCCCTGCCGCCTTGTAGCAGTATATCTGCTATAGGGTGGTTAATATGGGTGGAGAAAATTTCAGTCAGGTTTCTGTTGCAATCTGTGCTTCTTCACTTTCTGTCCTGGAGGGTAAACAGGAATTGAAAGGAAATCTCTTGTCACTAGAATAGGTGTCTCCATTCTCAGATTTCCCCACATCTCCTGTTCTGGTGACACCTATAAGATTCTGGATTTTTTATAACTTTGTTTCCATGCCATTGGTCACCAGTACACATCCCTGAATTAGAAATGTGTAATGTTTGTCCCCAGACTCTCTATAAAGCTCCGCACCTGGTGATCATCACTGACACCATCTCTGTCTCTCCCAACAGGACTGTCACCTGCAGCTGAACGATGAGGAAGGTCACCGCTGCTACCCCCTGGACGGGCACCTTCTGTGCCACAGTTGTCACATCCGCCGTATAAACGTCACCATGCCTCAGCCTCCTCACCCCTCCAGCTATCCCATGCACGTCACGGAACTCTGAAACGCTGGAGAGGCAGGAAGAGGAAAACAGAGACTGCTTGCCCATCTACCCGTACCGTGTGTAAACAATCCGGGAGGGGGGCAGGGGGCTGCCAAGGGGCACCGCCAACCCTCTCAGGGTGACGCCAACACTGGACCCCCTTAACGAAAGTGCCATTAACTCGCGGCCCATCCGCCGCAATCCGTACATAAAGCTGAATCGCGTCACCACCATTATTTATTGCCTTTTCAGTTAGTGTTGCGCCGCGGGGGAGGCCGGGGATCTGCATAGTGTAGAACGTAGCGGCAGTATTAGCACTTAATCCACATTAACCCTTTTATGTTACACATCGGAGCGCTGGATGGCAACAGGAACCCTAGATCACATCCTCTGCCCATACATGTGCTGGAGTGGAGGGGGACATGGCCAGAATGACACAACAAGAGTCTGAGATGACCTTCTCCAGCCAAATATGAACTGTGCCAGTATGCTGAAGGGGGCGGGGCCAGACAGAGAAGGCAACAGGAACACAAGATCACATCCTCTGTTCATTCATGAACTGCATCAGTGGAGGGGGTGTGGCAGACAGAAACAAGAACCTGAGATCATATCCTGCGCCCATACATGAACTGCATCAGTGTTCTGGAGTGGAGGGGGTGTGGCCAGACATAGCAACAGGATCCCAAGATCACATCCTCCTCCCGTACATGAACTGCATCAGTGTTCTGGAGTGGAGGGGGGTGTGGCCAGACACAGCAACAGGATCCCAAGATCACATCCTCCCGTACATGAACTGCATCAGTGTTCTGGAGTGGAGGGCATGTGGCCAGACACCGCAACAGGATCCCAAGATCACATCCTCCTCCCGTACATGAACTGCATCAGTGTTCTGGAGTGGAGGGGGTGTGGCCAGACACAGCAACAGGATCCCAAGATCACATCCTCCTCCCATACATGAACTGCATCAGTGTTCTGGAGTGGAGGGCATGTGGCCAGACACCGCAACAGGATCCCAAGATCACATCCTCCCGTACATGAACTGCATCAGTGTTCTGGTGTGGAGGGGGTGTGGCCAGTCACAGCAACAGGATCCCAAGATCACATCCTCCTCCCATACATGAACTGCATCAGTGTTCTGGAGTGGAGGGGGTGTGGCCAGTCACAGCAACAGGATCCCAAGATCACATCCTCCTCCCATACATGAACTGCATCAGTGTTCTGGAGTGGAGGGGGTGTGGCCAGACACCGCAAACAGGATCCCAAGATCACATCCTCCTCCCATACATGAACTGCATCAGGGTTCTGGCGTGGAGGGGGTGTGGCCAGACACAGTAACAGGATCCCAAGATCACATCCTCCTCCCATACATGAACTGCATCAGTGTTCTGGAACGGAGGGGGTGTGGCCAAATACAGCAACAGGATCCCAAGATCACATCCTCCTCCCATACATGGACTGCATCAGGGTTCTGGCGTGGAGGGGGTGGAGCCAGATGGACACGGCAACAGGAGAACAAGATTACATCCTCTGTAAATACTTGAACTGTGTCGGTGTGCTGTAGGGGAGGGGGCAGGGTCAGGTGCAGTTTGTGAGGGTGTCAGGCACTGCATACCGGCAGACCTGTAATTCAATATCCGGTTGTGTTTTTGTGATGTCATTTCAGTACTTCTGATTGTCTGCGAGGCCATTCGTTTGGACTTTCGATAAAAAACATTCTCACCATCAGAGAAAACCATTAGGCCAAATCATAAAGATTATTTCTGAGCGAATAATCTACACGCCAATGTGTCCAGCAGTATGACGGCACAATCTCCTTTAGATCTACCAAGGACAGTAGTTCTGCCAGTGTAGTGCAGACAGAGCCGCCATTAGAAATCATAGAGCCACATACCTGACAAGGGCCCCACACCCACAACAATGCCCTTGGATAAGCTCTGACTCAATCTCTGCTCATATGCTCCTCCCACCTGTCAGTACAAAGTGACTCTGCGTTGTCACTGTAGTTTAATGGTCTCTGGAACCTTTGTTCAGGTTGGGCAGCCAGACACAGCACCAGGGGCAAAGAGGAACTGACTAGGGCCCCAGCCTGGCAGGTAAGACTCCCTGAACAAAGCTGTGGGTGCTGCACTAGGGCCAGCAGTAGGCAACCCCTTTAGGCCCCCTGCTGACCTATTGAGGCCCAGAATATCCCCCCAACTGGTGACCCTGAATGCAAGGCCTGATTGGATAATGTGAGGAGCAACCTAAACTGTCCAATCTGTACCCAGATTGAATCCGCAAAAATTGGAAATTGAAGACTTTCCATTCAATTGACTGGCGCAGAGAACTTTCAACCAATTAAAATGTATTGATCACTTCTGATTGCTCAAAAATATATCTGTATGCTGGAGAACCGATGATGATACAGATTGATTGTAGGATTGGGTATAAATTGTTTACATTTGTCACGTTCAGCCTTACCACTTGTGTTCTGTTGTCCAAAATTTGCGTTGTTCTGAGATGGATCGCCCATTGCTGTGTGTATGGCCACTGTAAATGTAATTGTATGGTCACATTGTAACGTGTCTGGCCAGCTTTATACGAGCGACCCAGAAACACACAAACTGACCAGTAATCTGTTGGCGGGCTATAGATTTCAGACGCCGCAAGTCATGGGTGGTAGGCAGTGTGCGTTTGTTGGCATGACATACAGTCTCACCAATGTGGTACAGTTGCAGAAATGGGCAATATGAGTGAAACTACGTGGGATCTGTAGGCTGTATTAGTGGCTTATTCACAACTGCTGTAGAAATGCGTGATATGGGCGGAGCCATGTGGAATCTGTAGCGTGTATTGGGGCTTATTCACAACAGCTGCAGAAGTTAGGGGCTGTATTGTAGAGTGCATTGGGGCCTATTTACAATGGCTGCAGATGAAAGTATTTTTTATTTTGGCTGCTTCTCAACATTTTCTTAATTCTGACTTTCAGCTTTGTAAACTTTTTATCAAAAGAGGCAAGAGCTGCAGATCTGGGTGAGCAGAACAAACTTCGGCCCAGTTAAAACGCTGTTCTTTTAGCAACTTTTATCGAATTGGGAGCTTCAAATTTCCTAAGGGTTTTTTGTAATGAGATTACTGGACACCACCTGTGTGCAAGAAAATGTTTACATCCACGAGTCATTTATATCCTCAGATGTGTGTGTCGGCCCTGTAATGCATCCCCAGCAGGCTTCTTCAGGGAGAATCCTCATTCTGAAACCAATCATAACATTGATCAGGAAATGTCATGTGACCCACGAAAGGCACTGCCAGCTCTGCGCTTTTTTATTTATTTCTTTAAATTGATCTAAATCCTTAACAAAAAGGCTCCATGTCCCGCAGGAATCGGGTCTTCAAGCTATCACACACTGTATCTAAAGCCCCCTTTCCTAATGTTTACATTTTTGCTGCATGTTGGTGGGCAGGCAGCTGGAGCAGAGTAGCGTCTATTCTGAGAGTTGGGTAGTTGATGCGCCTCACTCACCATCATGTTATTTCTCACAAACCAGCAATAAATCCATTTTGACCGTTTTCTACAAACATCAAAGTGTTTGTGTTGCAGAAAAGGGATCGAATTGTCTTTTATAAACTGGTGCAACTTTATCTCTGAAAACAGATTTCACAGTGTTGCTGTCATGTAGTATGGAATGAGCAGAGCAGTTACCCAGAACAGCTTTATAAAGTGACCTTTTTTTGTCATCTGAAAACCTGACAAATTCTGAAAGGTTATTGAATTTATACTCCCAACAATTTTTTATTTTAAAGTTTTGGATGGAGTGGGGATTAATTGGGAGCCCCTGTCAGGTTTCATTGTTACCTGGGGGTCTGTGAGAGGGGTTTAACCTCCCTTCTTGTCCCGGAGTCAACAGTTTCACCAGACAGGAAGTGAGGCCAATATCCCAACAAAAATAAAAATGCTATCCCTTCGGGAAATTTGTTTTCTTCCTGTCTGCTAAAACCGTTCTCACTGGAACAGGAAGTGGGGGAAATCTCTGTAACTGAGACCCAGGTAGCAGTAAAAAAAACAAAAAAAAACTCCAGCTAAAACTGAAAATAACTGTAAAGGGTTAGAACTGCTGTCTGACCCCATTGTTGACTTGCCCACATTTCAGATCCAGGTGACACCCAGGGCAGAACTTACTGTATTTCCTCTGGCGGGAGTTCCCCTTCATTAATCCCATCTGATGTCATGTGGATGCTCATTGGTTCATAGGCTGAGCTGGGGGGAGGGGGGGGGGGTGTCAGGCGGCAGGCCAATATCCAGATATGAGCCAAGCTCTTTCTGTTTACTGTAGTGCCACAAATTTCCGCATTAGTTCAGCCCAGGACCCTGAGCCCCAGCATGGTCAGTCCAGGAGCCAAATCCCAGCAGGAGGAGATTTCTGGCCTCCAAATACTGGTACAAAGTCAGCCTAGCTCCCAAAAACAATCAGGAGGTCAGCCCCAAAATACCATCAAAAGGTCAGCCAAGACCCCTGAATACAATCTCCAAGTCAGTCCTAGCTTCTGAATACCATTACAAGATCAATCCCAGCCCCCGAATAGTAGCATGAGATCAGCCTTGGCCCTCAAATGCCAGCATAAGCCTCGGTCAGCCCCGGCCCTGAAGGACCATTTCACATACTACATTTCACATAGAGGAAATTTGCAAGCAACCCTTCAATCTTTTAAGTTCCCACGTCTCAGTATTGAGCCCCCCCCCCCCCCCCCCCCCCCCCCCCCCGCAGGCGGCACCCCGAACTTTCACATTGTAACTAATATTGTAACGTTAGTATATGCATTGACTTAAATTAAGTTTTCCTTTTTATGAAATATATTTTTAATTTTCTTTGAAAGAATATAGTTTTTGTGTTTTTTTTTTTTTTTTTTTTTTTTTTTTTTTTTTTTTTTTTCTTTCCGAGAACTTGGACCAACTTTGTAGGAGAGATGTCGTCGCGGCGCCCGCTTTGTATATCGTGAACATCGGAGCGCCCGGCTTTGTATATCATGATCGTAGTTTTTTA